CACTGTCCAAGATAGATGTGAAGCAGGCAGACATACCCTCCTTCACTTGAGATATTAAAATCTGAACCTCAAAATATTTTTAAAAGCCTTCATGAGGAAAGTTCTAATAGTCTACACCTTTGTTTGAATAACCACACTCACAGGCCTAACACATAGCTTTTGCTAAAAATATATTTTCAGAAATACAGCCTTCAATACAAAAGCAAGATATAAATTATTCATGTATGAAACGGTTAAAATTAACTAACATCACCAGATGCTCTCAAAGTCGTTCCAACTTTAGGCACTGCTTAAATTACAGTGATGTTGAAACAGAAGGTATGTTCTGTGGTCTACATTGCAACTAAAATGAATGTGGACTGACGTAAGGAGCTGGTCCACACTGGTCCCTACTGAAAGCTGATTTGAGTAAGCAATGCTTCATCAGTTTGACGTAATGCCATCCCCAACAAACTGCACTTTGTATACTGATTTCTAAATAACAAGGTTCTTCCTATTTTTATAGCTGATATACTCAACAAGAAAATGTAACGTTGAATTTGAAGTAATCCTCAACTGACTTTTTTTTTTAAATAAACATTCACTAAGTACCAACTATCTAGTAGATATTCCTCTATGAACTGGGGAAGGATGAAAAAGCTGGTTGTCTTTATTTGCCGCTGTAATGTGGGAGTGCAAAAGCCAGAGGGAAAGCTGTTCATTTTCAGAAGAAATCAATTGGTATGTCAATTCTACCCGATATTACCAAGCCTTCAGATTTATCTTTCAAAATTTTTGTGATTTCGGCGAATGTTTATACAGAGCAAATTCACTTTCCATACAGCAGCTCACGTACACCGTCTCATGACCTTGGCTGTAAATTCCCCACAATACAACAGCTCCCTTCCCACTTCCTCCCCATAGGTACCTCTGCCCCATCTTTCCCTCCCATGCACTCCTGCCCCCCCACCCCCCGCCATTGTCTCCCTGTGCATACACAGCCCATCTAGACTCCCATGGTTGATCTCCCCAACGAGTGTACCTACCTAATATGTTCAGCTCATATGCCTGTTTTTTTCTTTGGCTGGAAGCCACAGGAGTGGGTTCAATTCCACTGAAGGGCAGCTAGGGGCCATAGTCTCAGTTGTCCCATCAGGCTCTATCAGACCAGCGAACCTGGTCTTTTTTTTTTTTAATGGTTTTGAGTTTTATTCCACATTGTTTTCCCATTCTAACCAGCATCTCCTACATAGATCCCCCTCTGAGGGGCTGACAGTGGTAACCGGGCACCATCTAGTTCTGGCCTCATAGTCGTACAGGCTGAGGATCCCATGGGGTACCGGTCGCTTGGACTAATTGTTTCCATGTGTCTTTGCTTCTGTTCATTTTTCTTTGCTCTGGATGAGGAGAGACCTATCATTGCATCTAGATGGCTGCTTGCAAGCTTTTAAGATCCCAGTCACTACTCGCCAAAGTAGAAGGTGGAACAATGTTTTTTATATTATGCTAATTGAGCTTGATGTCCCTTGCAACCATGGTCCTGAGCCCACAGGTCCAACTACTTGCTTGCTCTGGGTAGCTGGCTGTGGCCAAGAAGTCACCACAACCTTGTCCCTTGTCAGCTCTACTATGTACCTGGGAATTCTTACAGAACATACAAATACACCTGTAGAAACTTTGTCTGCCAACCCTATACATGGTTATGCCAAGCCTTCAGATATGTCTTAACCCACTGTTCACCATTCTAACATATTCTCTGTTAACAAATAGTTTTAAAAAACTTTACTGACCCACTACATGAATGAAAAACTGAGAACTTTTTTCACTCCATAGTTACTAATCTAACTAGATTCCTTGGTATTCCATCTGTCAGTAAGTGTGGACAATCACAAACTTGTAATTTCAAACACCTTTCCTCTAATGAATTTTTATAATTACAAAGTATCAATCTCAAATTACTTGGGGAAAAAAAAGGCATGCTTCTTCCAGCTTCCTTGCCTCTGGGTTAATTTTTAATACCTTCATACATGGAGATACATACAGTTACAAAACACTTAAGAGGATGACAGAACTCAGATTAGTTTGACTGTCTACATCCCTGGAATTGACTCTGAATGGGTCCAAACTGTCCCAAGTATCCAGACACTCAATTTTTCCCTATCATACCCCGAGATTCAACATCAGCATTTCAATTATGTTGGCACATCTAACGGAAACCCAGCTTACCTCAGACCTAAATATGAACCCCGTAATAAAAAGTGAGACTGTTGTTCTTTGGCATGACCCACATAAACCAAATTTTTGAAAAATGAAAGGAAGTTACCTCACAGCCCATTAAAAAATAAATATACCCCAGAAAGATTACTATTAAAAGTTACTGTCACTCGATGTCAAATCCCGTATACTGAAGTTTTCTTGGGAAGTAATCAATTTTTATCTAGTTTCCAGTGAACTGGGATATGGCTAGTTCATTCATGAATTCACCTCACACTCAGATTGCAAAATGGACTACACAGTAACATCCTATGAAGATGGGTAGTTCAAATTATTAACAATTATTAACAGGCTACTTCTGGTCTCTAGATACATAAGGAAGTCAATCAAACTCTATTCACCGTCAGAACCTAGGTCATCCAAAGGCAACACTACATCATGAAATATAAACAATGATATCCTTTATTCAAGCTAAATTTATCCCTTCCTAGTCAACAACGTCACTCTTTTTGAAGCACATTTTCCTTTTTCTAGGGCGGGGTGTGTGTGTCACTATTTACTAAAGATGAGTTAAACAGGCATGCTGAGATTTGCGGCCCTTTCCAGTTTTCTTGCATAGATTCTCCCTTATCCTTCCTCATTTAAGAAACTTTCATGACAGGTGTTAAGACTAAGGAAATTTTAACGATTTCTCCAACAAGTAACCTGCTTTATACCTCACTTTCAACTTCTAGAAATAAAGACAGACACAAAGTTTACTTACTTTTTTTAATAAACCATAAAATTGAAGTATTCAAATAAAAAGAAATAAAAAGATATTTAAGCAAAGCACTAATTTGTGCTTTAATTCTTCCTATGGGCATTGGATGGAGGCTTGACTTACCTGGGACCAGAAGACTAGAGCAATAAAGTCAGAATGCTTGTATAATAGTGAACAACAAGTAAGTAAAAATGGGCAATGGCCTCATAAAATTTACTTTCCAATTTGGAAGTGAAGATCAGTGGCTTACTGAAGCCCACTGCAGAGGCCTTACAGTGGTCTCTCATCAGTGGCAAAGCATTCTCACCACACTTTCTTCATCACAACTTAGCACTCCTGGCATTGTGATCCTCTCGCTCTCTGAAGCTCACTTCAGTCTGTCAAAACATCAAGGGGGAAAATCCCCAGCTGAATAGAAGAATAAGCACTTCTAACGTGAACAATCATATTCAGACCAACCTCTTTGCAAAAATACAAGTCAGTGGGTTTTTTATCGTTAAGGAACTCAGATATTACTATTTTTTTCTGCCTTTTCATTTATTTACATTGGCCAATTATTTTCTACTTGCTTCTATTTTTCTCAGATCCTGTTGGTACCATATGGTTTTCCTTTTGATTAAGCTTTAAAATTTCCATTCCAGAATTATTTGCTCTTTGACCAGTATCACCTTCTTTTTCTGTGAATTATTTGTCAATGAAAACTGAAGAAGAAGAAAGCAATGAGCACTAGCAGGATCTCACTTCAACATTCATAAAAGTTTTTATAAGAAAAACGCTCATTTTTATTTATGGAGTCTAAAACCGTTATTTATGGTATTGTAAATCTTTTCACATACCCAAATGAGTCAACATTCAATGTGGACAGCAAGCCAGCTCACAAGAAACATACTGTAATGCATGAATACGTTGATAGCTGGTAGAATCCCAGTAGCTTGGTAATAAAGTGCAGCAGAAATTTTCTTATATTAAGAACTCCAGTAACATCTCAGTATTTTTGGTAAAGTTAAGAACAAGCTACTGCAATGTGGAGATAAATGATCATTTTACTTCCAAGACTGGCCACCAGAGGACCACATGAAATATTAGACCTGGAGCCAATAAAAAAACACTAACTTGGAAAGTAATGTGTTTTTCCCCCCAAAATGAAAAATTATCTTCTACAGATGCTTAACCATACTATGATGTGACAGGTTTACAGTGGTAAACAAAACAGTAAAGATAAACTAACTTTACACCTACGGCACGTAAAGAACACAGATTTTATAATTGGCAGCAGGAAATTCTACAACAGCTCCTGAGACAAGTTATCCTATGTCCTACATCTACCCATGCCAATAATGGCCAATCCGAACAGTAACACACAGAGTAAAAACAGCGATTCTACTGTCTGTGAGCCAGAGAGTACTTGAAGAGTGACAAAATAGTATATTATTAAATGACAAAACATATTTAGAGGCTTTATTTAAAAATCTCTCACTGTTCATTATCAAAGTTACAAGATTGTTTGCATACCAATAGACAGACTGTAAACATAGGAAATTTTCATTAAGGAAAGATGGGTTTACTGTAATTTAATCTTTTACAAAAAATTACTGCAAGTTATTGATTTCAGAATTTCTCTTTTACTTTCTTAAGTCTAATTCTCTTGAAAATTAAACCAATGTTTCCACTCCCTTGAGCTAAAGTTCAACCTTGGTCACCTTAGGAAATACCCCTGTTTATTTGTTAATCAGAAATACAAATTGAGTGGCACATATTTCCATTTTCTTCTTAGGCCAAAGGTTTCACCTTCATTATACTTTACAAGAAAATAGAAGACTTGCAGTGGTCCTGTGAAGTCTTTCATGTCACAGCTGAGGTTTAATGACGGCAGTGGAGGAAAGCAGCGGTGATGCCAAGTAAGACCAGCCCAATCGCCCTTATCTGACAGGGAATCTTTTTGCTGTTTGGTTTGCAGCAGCAAAGTGTTTCTGGTCAGGTCGCCTCCACCAAACCTGACTGAAGCAGAAAGGAGACATGCTCTGCTCTGGTAAATCGTGTTGATCCTTCAATCTGTTGGTTGTGGGATGATACTGATATGAAGAAAATTATCCGGGTAGCTCAGATGTTCACTCAACCACTGCAGAGGTGTTTCCAGCATTGGCTCAATTCCATGAATCATTACTTGATTCTTCTTTCCCCCATCTAGTTCAAAAGAGAAATCCGACAAAGATTAGTAGGAATCAAATAATTTGGGGGGGCGGGGTACGGGGGAGAAGTCTGTTGTCTTGAGAATCCTTAGTGAATTAAATGGATTTGTACAGCTTTAACAGGTTAAATATTGTCTGTCTCCTGTGCAGGAAATGTGGACATGGAGAAAGTTCAAATGTTGCAATATGTATCACCCAAAACAGAAACCTGAGGGTTACAATGAATTCTGATAAAAATTCTGTTGCCATATGTGAAAGTATTCATTCTTTCTTAATTACTGTGCATACCTAAGATTGACGTTAATGAAACTATAGTGGAGAAAACAGCCTATTGTACCCACTGACCAAATTTATTTTAGTTACACATTAAAAACTGTAGTAATTAGCTGCTAAAAATGACAGCTATAGGAAGTAGGTCATATTTAAAAAACGGAAAACAGAAATGTGATTAGAAATAATCAAAAAGCAGATCAGTGTTTGGAGAGAAATGAAATAAAGTAGATGAAAACTTTAGGTTAATTTTCAGTGAAGCTGTTCAAGAATATAAGTAAAGTCTGAGAGTCACAGTTAGAGGAAGAGTCAGTAGTTTTCCTCAGAAGGAACCAAGAGTCTGACTCAGGGGTTCCTGTTTTAGGGTTATGAAACCTCATTGATTTCTGACACCTATTCTCTAATTAAAAGGGTGTCTGCAATTCACACTTCTCTTTTAAATTCAAATTTCACTCCAAATTAAATTTAAAATTAGTTTTGAGTTTTTCCTGATTGGAGAATGATGTACTGACAGCCTTTAAAGTAAGTAGAAACACCCTCAGTTGTTGTAAGAAAACAAAGAAAGCAAAAACCAAGCTCCTTTAATGGAAAAAAAAAATAACAGACACCAAGAATCTTTGTGTTGCTCCTTTACCACAATTCATGGCTTGTCTCCTTTGTGGTGTCTTCAAAATACAATGCTTAAATTTCTCAGCTTCCTGGAGACAGAGGCAACAAAAAAATCCCAGGGAATTCATGGAACTACAAGAGAGGGAAATACTTCAATTTTTCCATTCTGCTCTGTTCAAGATGATTTTTGAATCCCTAGTGCTGTGATGTGTAGGCAAAATGGGAGTAGTATAATGTATGGTGATAATGATTTGGCTGGCACCTTAAAATCTGAAACCAAGAGATCCTTTAAAAAAATAAATTTCCTGCTAAAGGCAGCAGAGTCATGGGAAGAGAGCCTACTGATAGTCAACAGACTGACAAGAAGACACAAAAACACCACAGAAAACTGATAAAAAATTGCCCCAAAAATTGTTTTTAAATTAACAAACATATCATCAATTCCAAAGCCAACCAAATAAAAATTCCCAAATAAACTCCACAAATCATTAACTCACTCAACTCACTGCCATGGAGCAGGATCCGACCCATAGCAACCCCTCTGGGTTTCTGAGGCCACAAATAATAAGTTTTAAAAAATTTTGGAAAATGTTATCACCATAACTTCAAAAATGGTTTGTTTTCTCAATCTTTGTTGCATCTACACATAACTTTTTTACACAGCTGTGATTATAGTATTCCTACAATAGTTGGTTATGATAATGATGATACAAATCACATAACTAAAATATTAAGCTACATGCAGAATACCATAGAAAGCATGGTGCTAATACCTTGGCAAGTGTTTTAAACGTTGATACTCAAATTGATAAACCCTTAGCTATCCTGATTAGTTCTCTGTAAGTGTCAAATTGCCAAGATTTTACCATTTTAAATCTTTCTTAGAATATGTGACAACATTTCCGGTGTAGTTCTCTTCATATTCTTATTGTATTTCTTTGAAATACTTTTAATATTCTCGTAATCCTCCTCCTACTTAGCACTGAGTCAGAAATGAAAGAGCAGTGCTATAAGAGTAAAAGTTCCTTATCGGTTACGTTTTTCCTAAAGTCAGAGTCACCTTTGGATATGCTGTAACAGAGCAGAAGCAGCAATTCAACAGCAAGAATTCTGTGCTTAATGTAATATTTAAACGTGGAAAGCAAATACAACATGGCATACGGCCCACTAATGCATAGGATGTTTGAAAGGCAAAAGATCAACCCTCATCCACAAAAGGACAGATGGATGTTCTGAACTGTGCAACAGAGTTGGAGAACATAAGCATTATTTAAACACTTCCTGTAAAAAACTAATAAATCACATTATTAGAGCCCAGAATAGGCACCACTGATTCTCTGGTTTAATTCTATACCATAAAGTACCACTAACTAAAGCAACTAAGGAAAAGACTCCAGAAGGACTGTCAACAGAACAGTTTCATGTCTTAAAATACTATTTTGTCAGCGCCTGTATTTGTTTATACTGTGTGTATTTGAATTTTTTGTATTCTTACTTCCTCCAGAGGGATTCCTAGAATGGGACATTAGTTCCCTTGGAACTATTAACTGAAGTTTCCCTTTTATTTATCACTGCATTCCCAGTGCCGAGGATGGTACCTGACACACAGAAATAGATCAAGGAATGTTTTCATAGATTGGGTAATTTCCTTGCTGGTAGAATAAAGTCTCAAGATTAATTAATAATAATTATTATTTTTAACTATTAAATTTTACAACAAAATATGATTTCAAATAAGTCAAAAAATATATGTGCCATCACCTTAATTCATGCTACCATAAATAACAACAACGATGACTGGACATTTTAGCAATATCAGAACTAACAAAAGGGAACAGTGAACAATTAGTAGACTTTTTTTTTTTCTAACAGTAAAAAGGAAATATTGATGACATTGCTAAAGTAAACCATGTTTTTGGTAAACATGTCTCTGTGTTTCAAAATGGAAATCTAGAATTTAGTATTTGGGAATGAGAAATATGTCATTACAAAGAAAATGACTCAGCAGAAATATGTTACTCCACACCTCACCCACTCAGATTTTTTTAAATGTTAACTTTAATGCTTTAAAGTAGGTAATCATTTGAGACACTAATCAAGTGAATTAGTTCTATATGAACTTCCTTTATACAGGACTCTGTTTGCAGGTAATTCTGATTTTGATATAATTTCCAACTTAGAGAAAAGATGCAAGAATGTGTACAAGAAGCTCCCATGCACTCTTTACCCAGAGTCACCAACTATTTACATTTGCCTCATTTACGTTATCATTCTGTGTATTTTCCAAAACATTTGAGAGTGAGTTGGAGTCTCTTTGAACCCATTTACCCCTGAAATAGTTCAGTGTCTATTTTCTCACATAATCACAGGACAGTTAATAAAATCAAGAATTGTTATACTACTCCTAGGGTCTGGTGGCATAGTGCTTAAAGCATTTGACTGCAAACCAGATGGCTGGTGGTTCAAACCCACCAGCCACTGCTCAGAAGGAAGGTTGGGGAATCTATTTCTGTAGTGATACCGCCTCGGAAGCCCAAGGAGGGGTCACTATGAGGTGGATCCGACTCGATGGCAGTGAGTTTTTTTTTTTTTTTTTTAAATACTACTCATAAGGAGCTCTGATGGAGTAGTGGGTAAGGCATTTGGTTGCTAACCAGAAGGTCTGTAGTTCAAACCCACCAGCTGTTCTGCGGGAGGAAGATGACACAATCTCCCATAAAGATTCACAGGCTTGGAAATTCAATGAGGGTTGCTATGAATCAGAATAGACTTGATTGCTGTGGGGTTTTTATTTTTATTTTTAAATATACTATTACTATGTAATCCATAGTTCATATTAAAATGTTATTGACCACCTCAATAATATTTATCTCGCTAGTACTGGAGCTAGTTCAGGAGTCACACATTGCATTGCGTTGCATTTTCATGTCTCTCTACTCTCTTTTCATCTGGCACAGTATCAAGGCTGTTTTTGTATTTCTTACTCTTGACACTTTTAAGAGTACATGTCATTATTTTGTTCTTTTGTAAGCTACATTATGCTAATTCATCTTATATACAGACAGACCGTCATTCATAATATTGAGTTTGTAAATTAAATAAAAAGCCAGGAGTAAATGTAAGAGATATGTACTTTCATTGGGTAGAGAAGGAATTCTATATACCCTAAAAGTTAAATGTTAAATCTCAAGAGATTATATTTCAACAGAGATTATCAAAATAAAATGTAATTTCTTACATTTATCTAACTTCTAAGTATTATGACATAGGCTAAAAATAGAAATGTATCATGTAATTTTATTATTATCATCACCAGTATCCTAATAAAAACAAAGTCAAGTCTTAAGCAGCATCTATTAGAAAGTGAGTATTTTTATAGTAATGTTACATTTTGAAAAAGTATATTCAGATAAATTTTGGCTGTGTTATTAGGATAGCAGAAATTACATACAGAGGAGGGAAAAAAAAAACCCACAAACCAACTAAACAAAAAAGAAATGATCACATAAGCAAGTCATAAGAGCAAATGTCAAAGTTAAAAGTATGGTAACTTCTTTATATATGAATATATACTTTATACACACACACACACACAATAGTATCTATGTATAGGTATACATACAATAAATATAAGTATATACAATCATATAAATGAGACAGAAAGGAAAAAGGGCCAACTATGCACTGACAGTTTACAAGGTGCTACTGAAATACAGAAGAATTGGCAGTCTGGCAACTTGAATTCCAATTCTGGTCATGGAAGACTCTGGGCAGGTCTTACATCTCTGAGGCCATTTCTTTTTTTATGTGAAAAAAAAGTGCTTGATGGTACAATGTCTAAGAGCTTGGCTGATAACCAAAAGGTTGGAGGCTCGAACCCACTAGCTGCTCCACTGGAGAAAGATATGGAGGTTGGCTTCTGTAAAGATTATAGCCTTGGAAACCGTACGAGGCAGCTCTACTCTGCCCTACAGGGTCACTGTGAGTTGGAATTGACTTAATGACAAGGTTGTTTTTTTTTTTTTTATATCCATGGCTTGTAAATGTTGCTGACCATCAGAAATATTCTGGGAGATTTTAAAAAAATATACAAACTAGGCCTCTCTTCAAATACTC